ACATTATGATAAGAAGGAGAAAGGATGGAGATTGTCAACAATCTCATTTTACTTGGATCTTCAATAAACATCTATAAAATATTAACACCATGGAGGCAATTACTCTTTTTTTAAAAATTTTATTATTTTGTGTGTGTGTACCGTCAAATCAGATCTGACTGGTACAGGAGGAGATTGCCCCTCCTTCCCCGGCAGAGCATCTGGTGGATTCGAACCATGCACCTCTTGGGATTGTAGTTGCAGCTTCTTGCCACTAGGCCACCAGAGCTCCCCGGCAGTTACTCTTTTAAATAACTAACCATGCAAGATCAAAAAGGCAGCATTTGCCTAAGGATAGTCCAGAGTCTTAACAGAGATGAGAATGACAGGGAGGAAGCAGGCAGGGTCAAGTTATATTGTGGGTATTGTAATTAATATTACAAAATAAAATGTGGAAGAATGTCTCATTGAGGGAGCTCTGGTGGCCTACTGTCAAGAAACTGCCCTGCAATCCCAGAGGTACGTGGTTCAAATCCACCAGATGCTTTGCTGGAGAAGGAGGGGCTATCTTGTCCTGTACCAGTCAGATCGGATTTGTGCACGAGTGCGTACACACACAAATGCCTCATTGAAAAACCACTTTTCTTTTTAGGCTTTCACTCAAATCATAATTAGGAAAAAACCTTAAATTACATTTTATAATGGACAAACCTCTTCCCAAGGACATATTTAAAGTACTAAAGAGGAAAAATATCAGTTTAAAGAGTAAGGTGTGCCTGATTTAAGTCACGATCCAGGAAGTTATTAAAAGAAGATGGAAGGAATATACTGAGTCACTGTATTGAAAAGAATTGGAAGACACAGAAGAATTTCATGAAACAACATATGAGCAAGAGCCTATGGTGATGAAAGAAGTAGTTCAGGCTGCTTTGAAGGAAATGGCAAAAAATAAGGCTCCAGGAATAGATGGTATACCAATTGACATATTTCATTTAACAGATGCTGCCATGGACGTGCTCACCAAGTTGTGCCAAGAAATCTGGAGAACGACCACTTGGCCAACTGACTGGAAGAGATCGATATTTGTTCCTATCCCAAAGAAAGGTGACCCAACAGAATGTGGAAACTACAGAACAATCTCACTGATTTCACATGCAAGCAAGATTTTACTGAAGATTATCCAAAAACGACTGGAACAGCACATCAACAGAGAACTACCAGAAGTCCAGGCTGGGTTTAGAAGGGGTCGTGGTACTAGGGATATTGTAGCTGATGTTAGATGGATCTTGGCTGAAAGCAGGGAATACCAGAGGAATGTCTATCTGTGTTTCACTGACTATGCAAAGGCATTTGACTGTGTAGATCATAACAAACTGTGGCTGACTCTGAGAAGAATGGGAATCCCAGAACACTTGATCGTTCTAATGCGAAACTTATACTTGGACCAGGAGGCAGTCGTCAGAACAGAGCAAGGGAACACTGCATGGTTCAAAATTGGGAAGGGCGTATGCCAGGGATGCATCCTATCTCCATACCTTTTCAACCTATATGCAGAACAGATTATCCGGGAGGCTGGGCTCTATGAGGAGAAATGTGGGGTCAAGATTGGTGGACGATTTATCAACAACCTGCGTTATGCGGATGACACAACCCTGCTTGCTGAAACTGAGGAGGACCTGAAGCGCCTGCTGCAGAGTGTCAAGGACTTCAGCCTACAATACAGATTGAGGCTCAATGTCAAGAAGACAAAGATTCTCACCACTGGACCAATTGGCAGCATCAGGATGGATGGTGAAGAGATTGAGATTGTACACAGCTTTAGTTTGCCTGGGTCCACAGTCAACAGTCTTGGCACCAGCAGCCAGGAAATTAAAAGGCGCATTGCAATGGGAAAGTCTGCTGTTAGGGACCTCTCCAAGGTACTGAAGAGCAATGGTGTCTCTCTGGAGACTAAGGTGTGCCTGATACAGGCCATGGTCTTCGCAATCACCTGTTATGCATCAGAGAGTTGGACAATGACAAAGGAGGATAGAAGGAGAATTGATGCCTTTGAGCTGTGGTGCTGGAGAAGAGTACTGAGAATACCATGGACTGCTAGGAAAACAAACAGATTTGTCCTGGAAACGGTTAAACCGGGTGGCTCCTCGGAGGCAAGGATTCTGAGGCTCCGTCTAACATACTTTGGACATGTTGTGAGGAGAGACCAGTCCTTAGAGAGGGACATCATGCTTGGGAGGGTGGAGGGACGGTGCAGGAGAGGAAGGCCCTCTATGAGGTGGATTGATTCAGTGATTGGGATAATTGGGATGGGAGTGTCGGAGACAGTGCGATTGGCACGGACAGAGTGGAGTTTAGGGCTGTTTTGCATAGAGTCGCTATGAGTCACAAGCGACTCGACGGCACATAACAACAACAACAACATATATGCATATGAAAAGTTTAAAGAATTGTGGTGTGGGTGAAGAATACAGAATCTATTACAGACTATCAAAAACCAAACAAATCTGTCTTGGAGGAAGTGCAGCCAGAGTGCTCCTTCAAAGCAAGGAGGGTGACACTTCATCTTCCATACTCTGAGATAGAAGCACGAGTCCTAGGAGGAGCACATGAGGCTTGATCAAGCAGAGCATCAGTGAGAGGGAGGGAGACTCAATGAGATGGACCGAGTGATGCAGCAAGAGGCTGAAGCTCAGCACAAACAGCGAGGGTGCACAGGGTCGGGCCCGGCTGGGTTCTGCCTACACAGGGTCACTGTGAGGTAAGAGTCAACCTGATGGCACTTACAAACACACTTTTCCTCTACAGAAGATTAATGCAATTTTTTTCCACTGTAAAAAGATAAATCAGAAGTATGACACTAATAAAAGAAAATATACTTATTACAATCAATGATACAACCTGAGAAAAAGTAACTGCAAGAGAGATGGCAATGGGTATGCCCTGGTGCAGCTCTGAGCTACACACTGTGCTCGGGGCAGGACCACAAGCACGTGCTCCTGGTCTGTTGAAGGTGCATGCAGCCTGTGTCTGATCCTCAGGGTCACAGCCCAGAGAACGTGGTGGGAAGTCAGTCCTTGATTTACTGAACAGGCAGGCTCCATTCCAATGACTCCGTTGTAAATAAGTGATGACAGAATTGGAGTATTTTAGAAAAAATTTTTTAATATTATTGCCCTTTTCTATCATTATCTTTATAAACCTATTCTTTTGTCTTTGGGAGTTGGCATGATAATACTATCAGTAAGTTACATGCTGAAACACTGTATGTATTACATACTCCTAATAAATTCAGGAGCCCGGGTGGCATACTGTGTTCCGTGTGGGACTGGTGCTGGGAAAGGCCAGCAGGACGAGCACATCAGGGGAAGGAAAAAAGGGGGCAAGTCCCATAGAGTCAGCAACTCAGAAACCCAGTGGAGGCCTGCTAGGAGTCAGAAGGCAGTGGGAACATGAGAACTGAGGTGAAACCAACAATTTGTCAATAAAGGAGCATGCTCTTCGGTCAGAAAAGAGTAGACAGGCAAGTGGATCTTTCTAAAAACCCACAGCATGACCATCAGAACTGCACCTGAGGAACCCCCACCTACTCTTCAACTCTTGGCAGTCTGAGGGGTGGGAAGCAGTTGGGTGAAGGAAGAGGCCTCTGCCTGGCCTGCCACACCAGCCAGGGATTAAATGGCTCCTCGACTAACAGGACTGAAAGGAAAAAGAAATCGTACAGCTTGACTTCTGAAGGTCACTGTCAGCGGAAAAGAAACAACTTGAATGGGGACATAGGATCGTGCCTGGCGCAGTCGGTGGCCCAGGAACAGAGAGCAAGTGGGTGTGAATGACTCAAGGGCCTCTTTTCTGGGGCTCTCTGCTTTTCCTGACTCTTTCTGGCAGCTGTGGGTCTGGTCCCCCCGCCCCCCATACTTTCTCTTTAATTTATTGAGATTTTAATGAAAGTTTGTAGAGAACTTGGATTTCCATTCATTCATTGTTGCACATTTTCCTCCCTGTCCCTCTCCCACGGTGGGTCTAGTTTTGCCATCACGTTCCAAAAGACAAAGGACGAGAGAACGCCTGCCATGGTGGGAAATCTAATCTACACAGACGGAACCACGCCACCAACCAGCTTACTCCTTTTCCTGTCTCTCCCAAACCAAGTCTGCCTTCTGCTCTGGACCTCACCGCCTCTGCTTACTCCCTAACAGTGTAGCCCAAGAGAGGCATTTGCAAACTGTCTCCACTCACTTGAAGTCATGCTCTTCGTACATATGCCTGCCCCTCAACCAGACACCACCATTCAGAAAACTGCACCCAAAATGCCTGCTCGCCACACTGTAGCCTGCTCACCAGTGATTCATTACTCTATAAAGTAATTTTTCATAGTTCATACAGCAGAGAAGGGCGAAATGGAACTTAAACTGGGAAAACACACTCAAATGGCATACTGTTCTAACAAAATCTTCCAAACTGCTAACAAACTGGTCACTTAGAGTTGATTCCATTTCGTAAGGACCATGTGGGCCCAGCTGTGCTCCCTGCCTTGGTGGACCTCTCCCCTAGCTCCAGATACTGCTCAATAATGGCCTCCTGGGGACCAGGGGGCATGGGAACACCAACAATTTCCAGCACACCCCTGGGGTTTAACCAACATGTTCAAGCATCAGAGAATGGGGGAGTCTGGAGTCCTGGCATCCAGCTACATACGCAAAACAAACTCACTGCCATCGAGCTGGAAGTGACTCATGCAGGTGGGCCTCCAGCGGCTCTGCAGGAGGCTCTGAACTGCATGAAGCAGACAGTCCACCGTTCTCTTGCTCAGCTGCTGGGGGACTCGAACCACCAGAGAGGATGACCTTTAGGTCAGCAGCACAATCCCCACCAACTGTGCCGCCAGAACTCCCCAGCCACGTGCCAGCATCCGGCACTAGTTTACCTTTAGAGAATACTTACTGCTATTATCTGAATTTCAATGGTAAAGTTGAGAAGCTCCCACTTCATTTGGAGAAAAGCAGACACGTAAGGTTTCCTACCTGTTTTCTTTGCCGTTCTGAACGACAGAGTGACGATGAGCAGAGGTTCTCTCACTACAGACATAAGTGTTCCTCCTTGTCATGCCACCAGATGCTGTGGTACTCTGTCAAACACAGAGAGGATCTGTCTTAGAAAAACTGTAGTCATTCTAAACCTAACTTATTAGTGTCAAAATCCAGGCCAAGAGTAATCGTTTCAGATCATTTTAGTTTTCCTAACATTTGAGGGCCTAACACTACTGATTAGATACAGTACAATGACTATTACATAACTTATTTACCTAAACATAAACATGAAGTTTAAAGAAAACCAGTCGGTGGGTGAGCGCTCGTGGCTGCTAACAGACACTAGGAAGAGCCTCTGAAGGACAGTGAGCTCCTTCTGAAGGACACGGCAGCAGCAGCTGGCCAGCACATGTCTGACTCAAACACAGCAAGGGGCGTGCTGGTGGTGCTGTGAAGACAGCGGCAGAAGAGCAAAGGGCTCGCGGCAGCCCCTCTACTGCCCTCCCCGGGAATGAAAACACAAGTGGCTATGGCACTGAGACGTTAAAAACCGAGACTGTGATAATCAACAAAATAGTAACTGAGTCAGAGCAAAGCAGCAGCAAGGAACAGGAACAATGAAGGCATGTCATCAGATGAAAGCAGGCTCTAAGCCATGACAATGGACACCTACATGGAGAAGCAGGTCCCACAGACTCACTGAAGATCCACTTGCCAAACCACAATCATGTAGCTAAGGGTTCTTTCTTTCTAAACAATCCACGTTATTGATGGATAACGGGGTGGGCTCTCATGAGGTGAGGTGCCAAGAGGGAAAGGTGGAACCACAGAAGTGGAGAAGGGACTTCTCCAGCAGCTCATGCTGGGTCAGAAGGCACACACCAGTATGTGAGAAGTTTTAGAAAGCTCAACATATTCAATTCAACTCACTGAACTACTTAGGGACTATCTGTGCCTGAGGGGAACTCTGGTGGTTTACTGGCAAGGAGTTGTGCTGTCAACCCAAAGGCAAACGGCTGTTCTGAAAGAGAGATGGGCCAAGTTCTGTGCAATTTACAGCCGGATCATCTGGAGGGTGAGCTAAGGGCTGGCTTCAACCCCGCGGCCCAGAAGACCACCTGCACCACCTGTGTGTGGGGAGATGCAGTTAAAGAGAAGGATGCAGGTCAGCAGTGTCACCTTAGGTAATGACCTCATTCTTTACCTGTGTGAGGACCTGCACTCCAGTAGGATTAAGCAGCAGGTCTGCGGGGACCGAGAAAAACATTGAGCACTGCCCTGGGCTGTGAGAAAGATGCCACCAAAGCTGCTGGGAATCAGTCCTTTTAGGGTTCAGGTCACACTCCCCTTTATAGCATTTTGCCCAGATGGTCCTCAGTCACCTTCTGTGAACTTCATCTCACTCCTCTGTTGGACTCTCCCTCAGTGCCTGACACACCTAGGGCTCAACAGATGTCAGAAGGCAGAGGACGCAGGACCAGCTCAAGAGGAGATCATGAGGCAGCAGCAGCAGCCAGGGCTACCTCCCTACCGGAGCCACTGGGCTCAGGAGGGTCCCATGGGGAAGGGCCATGGCAGCCAAGGCCAGGTAGCTAGCCTGCACTCACACTGGGCACCGTGGAGCTCTTCCTGCGCTCGGGGATGGCCGCCTTGTTGGGGTTGCTGGCAGTGCCGAGCATGGGGCTGGCTGGGGCGATGCCCTTTCCTCCAACGGTGCTGCTGCTCGACTTCCGGGCAGGAACCCCGTCTTCTTTGAGGTCACTGTCTGTGCTGGTCTGACTCCTCTTCGGATACGCCACAGCAGAAGGAATAGCTGGTCCAGCTAAAATAAAGTTTACTTTTTACAATTCAGAGACAGCATTGTACTCTACCTTGTCAAAGGAAACACTTTAAGAGCTCATAAAAAAGTAGATAATATCCCGACCCAGAGACTATTTACTCATTATTCCCTGACACACTACTCTTTCCTCACGATTCCCCACCACTGACCTTCTACCTCTGGCAACACAGCAAAGGGAGCCACTAGCCACACGACTCCCCCAAATATGTTCAAGGCCGAGCCGAGTGTCTGCTTCCCACACTGGAGCAGAACAGTCTTTTTATTTTTTTGTCTAAGAGATGCATTCACCTCTGAATAGAGCAATACAGATTTTTTAGACCATGTCCTTACGCTTCAGTTTACACTTCTTAAAAAAATCTTCTAAGAAGCTGATAGGTCTCTAAGCATTTTATGTGTTTTCAGGAGCAGAGAGGGAAAACATTCTACTTGGAACAGGATCTACAAATACAGGACGCAGAGCTGACTGTGGAAAGGAAGCAGGGCCTGCACTGAGCCCACTCCACAGGAGCCTCTGAGGGTGGTCTTGCCCTCACTACGGTCCCAGCAGCATGGGAGCGCTGACCTGCGAGAGGACGTGCCAAGTCCATGGCAACCTTAACAGAACAACAAGTGCTCAATAATGATTCCGAAGTGGAAGAATTTTTAATATTTCAGGCCCACAAAAAGGTGGAGACAGGAGAGAGGATTCTATTGAGAACTAGATGAAAAAGAAACAAAGGCTTAATTTTATTTATGGGAGGAAAGAAGGTAATGTTTTGAATGGACAATCTGAATACATAAACCAAACCATTAGCCAAGTGGTGGTATAGTCCAGAGGGAGCCAGCCACTAACTGAAGGGCTCCTCTGTGGCGGCTCGGACCCTTGCGGGGCTCCCATGGGAGAATTGGGGGTTGGGGGAAGGAGTCATCTCTCATGAGATTTCAAGTCTCTCACAAACCTGCTGGAGGCTTAGCTGTGAGTCGGTTTTGACTTGATGGCAGTAAGTTAGAGGATGAAATTACCATTAGTGTGAATGTCTTGTCACTATCATAAGAACTACACTTTAACTGTCAGATGACTATTGACTTGTTATGAAACGTTTATGATTTGTATTGCTGCTGCTTGCTGTTGAGTCAGAACTGATCCACAACTGTCTCTCCAGAGGGTTTTCAGAGGCAGTTAGCGGCACAAGAGACTGTCCCTCCTCCTGTGATCTGTATTAATACCAAATCTCTCCAGGCCTGCGATACTGAAGGGGCTCCAGAGACAGCACCCTCACCAGTACTTGCACCGACCGGCTGTTCACAACCCAATCATGTGCCCCCATCTACTTCTCGTGTGCATTCACTTCTGCACAACTGCATCATGCCTGTGCACCTGTGTCCCCAGCTGTCAGGGCAGGCAGCCCAGTCATGGCCACTGCTCTTGGAGCCCAACCTCTCTGACCTCTGGAAGGCAGTAACTGCTCTCATCTCCATAGTAAGGTCTTTTCAAGGCCCCGATGCGGCACAGCCACACAGCATGTCACTGTCTGTAGACATGGGTATTATCTTGTCCCCACAGCATCACACGGCAGCACAGATCAATGAACGGGACACTGGAACCCTTCAGTTTGTCATTTCTGCTATAGTAGGTCATCTGACGGATTCAAAATGGCCAATACCAGTAATTTTCAGCTATTGTCTGGGATACTGTTGATCTGAAATGGTCCTTTTTAATATTTACAATTTCCAGTTTTCTTTGATTCATAGTTTGTACCTTTCATGTTACAAGTATTAATGGACGTTTATGACCGTCTCATTTTGAGTGAGGTCACATTAGGTAAATGAAGGTCCTGAGAGTTTTTGACTCTATGTGTGTTAAATCAAGTACACTCTGCTTTGAGAAGGCAGCTCCTCCTGCGTTGTCTTTGCAGTGGCTTCAGATCTCAGGGGCTCATCTTGTGCTATCATATCTGATAACGGTGACAATGGCCCGTTGCTTTCCAGGATACTATATTTTCTGGACCAACTCTTCCAGAAGCAGTTCTCCAGGACTTTTTCCCCCTCTTCTCTCTCAGTTTGAAAGCTTACTGGAGACCCATCGAATATGGTGGTGTCTGACATTCCAATGGCACTAATTACACCATCACAGCAATCCCCAAGCCACCTACAGTACAACATGCTGACAGACAGGTGGGTGGGTGTGTGCAGAAATGAGACTAATTTCAATTAACACACTGCCGCACACTTTTATATTGACGACCGTGCTTAGAAACACATTCTGCTGTCAAGGAAAAAAGAAATTCCTTAGTTCAAGTGCCCTGTAGCCACATGGGTTAACAGCTCTCCTTACTGGACAGCAGAGATGCAGCACATGCTCTGTCACGGCAGACAGATGTGCTGGACAGAGCTGCTACAGGAGGTTGACACGACACTGAGTTGGGGAGGAAAGTGAACAGAGCTGCAAGAGAAGCAGGGGTCCTGCAGGGCAGTCGGCGTGGCTGCCACTGATAAAGAAAAGACTTGGTAGGAAAGTGTGCAGGCTTCCCAGGGAAGTCATGGCCAAGGGCCTGACGTTCGAGTGAGTGGACGGCCAGGAGGGAGACAAGGCCAGCTCCTGGCGCACGGACTTACCGTGGTCACTATACCGCCTCTGCTTGTGGCTTGAGGAGGTACTTCTCTGCACCTTGTGGTGAGGAGACTGGCCCGTGTTGCTGTGGAGGTCACTGCTCGGCCTAACCTTAGCAAGTGAGAGAGTGCTGCTAGAACTGGAGTCACTAGCATCCAGCTAAGAGAGTGAGAAAAACAAGAGCAAACCACAACACGAACCCCAACGGTTCATTAGGACACTAGTCTTGCAACTTCTGCTAACATCAATTCATTCACAAAGATGTGCACTGAACAAAATTACAGGTCTAAACAGGACCTTACTGTGACCTTCTTTCATTGCTTTCTCAGATATCATAAAATGGGCTACTTTCCATAACATGTAGTGATATACATTAACTTATGAGGGAAAGCCAAGTTCGAGATGACAGCCACCAGCAGCCTTAAAAACACGTGTTCATAATGGTCACAGAACTTAAGACATACTATTTACAGTAAAGTTAAAAGTGCTATAGCGAACACGTTTCATGTTATATATATTTAAAAAACAGAAACTAAGAGGACAGTTTCTAGAAACTAGCAGTTTATGACAGAAACATTTGAGCATTTCCTCTGATTACTCTTACCTCTGAAGACTTTCTTCCCAACAACAAATACGTAGCTGTGATCTCATCGTATTTCATTTTACTAAGAGATTCCTGAATTTCTTCTTGTGAATATCCCATTCCCACCATAATGTCTAGAAAAAAGGGAGAACAGGTTGTGTGTTTTCTTTGGGTAAGAAATCACATGTCTCAGGGTAAAAGAATTTCTCTTATTTGACCTGACACATAGTAAAACACAAATCAGCAGTTTAACTTTGAGTTACTGGAGGTTTACAGGAAACGGCAGAGAAGGTGCCAATGAAGACTCACCAAGGAGCTTGCGCAGCCTGGTCTGGTGGCAGAGCCACTTCTTGGCAGAGCCCACCCCTGGCAGGGCCACGCACAGGCATGGGCACTTACCTATTCTCTTCTGGTCTGAGATGTCTAGTGCTGGTTCTATGAATGGTCTCAATTCATCTTCCTCGTGCCCCGCATTGATCCACCTGTCCTTCATGATTTGCTGGAAAGGAGAATATGGAGTCTAAAGGAATTTGTACAGATCACATCAATAGGCAGAAAAACTGGTTTTCAATTTTTCATTGGTTATGTGGTTCAAAGGTGAAACACAACTTAGCATCTTAATTCCTGCTTTGAGAATATGAACACTACTTTTAAAGCCCCAGGAAAAGAGTCTATGTCTCAGAAAACAAGCTCTAAGCATGTTTTAAAGCTCCTCCCAACTGGGCCACGTTCTCTGCGGGGTGATTACCTCTAGAGTGCCACGTCTGACTGGGTTTAGCACCAGGAAACGCTTGAGAAGGTTTTCACAGTCTGTGGACATGTAGAAAGGGATTCTGTACTTCCCTCTTAGTACTCTTTCTCTCAGTTCCTTTCAGGGAAGGAGGGCAGAGAGGAAAGACACTAGTCAATCAACTTCTAGGTTATAAACAAAACCAACCAAAACATCTTACTCACTGAAAGCCCATACTATTTGAGATCAAGTTACAAACATTAACCCATATTCTTTGATAAGGTCCTCTTCAATTCTGAAGACCATGGATGCAATGGCTTCCTGTACCTTTAGGTTCTGTCCATCGAAAGGAAGTGACCCACTGACTAGCGTGTAGAGAATGACGCCCAGGCTCCACACGTCCACCTCGGGCCCGTCGTATTTCTTGCCCTGGAAGAGCTCTGGGGCTGCATATGGAGGACTGCCGCAGAACGTGTCCAGTTTACTGCCAACAGTAAATTCATTGCTAAAACCAAAGTCTGCTATTTTAATGTTCATATCAGCATCTAACAATAGATTTTCAGCCTAGAGGGAAAACATCAAGACAAAATAAAATTTAACCAAAGTATAATTGGAATGGTGATAGTATTAGGCATTTCATAAAAGTTTTCTGTAATGATCTTAAGTTTATAGAACTCCATGAATAATATGAGAAAGCATTCTTCCCAGGGAAAAGGACAAGGAGATAAAATTAATCCGAGCACAAATTTAAACATTCAGTGTTCCACAATCAAGGCAAATTTGAGATCTCTTTCAATTAAAAATAACAGACAGCTTTTTACAGATGCTCTGCTGGAGAAGGAGGGGCAATCTCCTCCTGTACCAGTCAGTTCCAATTTGATGGTACACACACACACTAATAAAAAAAAATGTCAAAAAACAAAAACAAATATAACACACAGCTTTTTAAATATAATAGCTACTTGACTCACTGAAGAGAGTCACATGTCCTAGCAATGGCTAACTAGCTGCAAAATGGCTGTGCCTGGTAAGGAGTGATCATAAAACCATCACCATACAAAGTAGTCACGTTCATTTATTTCAACAAGTACATACTATGTGGCTACTTACAGCCTGAGTTATAACAATGTCTGGAGATAAAAATGGTGAACAAGACAGCTGTGGGACTAGCAATGAAGGTTCCAGAAGGCACTGGAGAGAACGGACTCTAAGTCCTTGCTTAATGGACCAGAAAGCATAGCTAACCACAGTGAGTGGGCTGGATGGAGGGCATTTCAGGAAGAACCGGGAAAACCCAGAGCAGAGAGAGATGTCTGCGTGAGGCAGTGAGGCAACGGGGAAGGGAGAGAAACAGAAAGCAGGTCAGAGGAGGCCATGGCTGACTCCTGAAGGGCAGGGAAGTCCGAGTGCTCACACCCACGCAAGGCTGGAGCAGGGAAAGGAATTCTTATTTATGTTTTACTACCATCCTGACCACTACACGAGAGGCCAGCCAAGCAGCTGCCAAGGTACCAAGTGAAGGATGAAGGAGTGGCAAAGAGGACAGAATGACCAGGCTGGAGAAATACTCAGAAAGCAGGAGGGCATGGTGCCTGGACAGCTGACTAGGAGGGAGGCTGAGGGGATAAAGAAACATCTGACCTCGAGGAAGGATGCAGGTGTCTGAAGAGTGCCAGTGTGAAGAGGCCCTGAGTCAGTCAGTCCGGTCCTGGGTCCTAGCTATTGCACAGAGGTGGTCACTGAAGTACTGAGTGGATGTGAAGACCCAGGGGTGGGTGCAGAGGACAATGAGAGAGAGTGGGGAGCAGAATCAGTGCTGTGAGGGTGAAGGGCCTGGAAGGGCAGGAGTGTGTCTGGAGAAGAGGGTAAAGGCTTGAGTCGATGCAGGGGAGTGCAGAAATGCAGGCAAAGCTGCTTGCTGAGGGAGTGGAGGGACAGGAGAGAGGAGGAGGAGACCCGGAACAAGGGAGACAGAGGCCCCTTCCCAGTCACCAGAAGAGAGGCAGAAAGGACGGTGCAGAGGCAGTGAGGTCTGAGGCCTCCTGCGTGCAGGGTACTGACTGCCGTGAAGAACGGTTCTGGCGGGACCAGAGAGCATCCCGCGCACTGTGCAGTGAAGGTGTGTTCTGGAGGCCCCGCAGTTCCGTGTGTGGTGAGGATTTCCAGCACAGATCAAGAGCCAACTACAGTAACTAAGACATAAAACACTTCTCATTAATAAACCACTTTTGCTTTAGGATACCACTGTTACAACACTGAGTCTTTTCCTCCTCAATCCCACCGATGGTCTGTGCCCACCCAGCTCCTCACCTTGAGGTCTCTGTGAACAATGTGCTTCTGGTGGCAGTACTGCACCGCTGAAACAATCTGGACAGGAATGGGCAAAGCGGACAGTCAGTGCCAGGTTACTCACATGTAGATGAACACACTGCAACATGCTCACACATGCAACATAGCTGGCCAGCACTCAAGATGGCTCTACGCTGAACCCAACAATTTTTCAAGCTTTGGGCTCTTCAGTCTTGATGAATTCTGGTGGATGCTCTCCTGAGTCTAGGGTGAGAAGTCACTATCCTATGACGTTCTAGTTGTTCTGGAGTACGAAGCAGGACCCAAATACAGGGATGAAAACCAGAACGGGACATAATCTCCCACTGAGAAAACAAGGGTCGCATGCAGAACAGACAGCAATAAAATCTCCCAAGTGCAGAGTCAGAAACAACGGTGTCCAGTTCAAAGATGGGCACAAGACATCTCTTCTGATTCTCCCATTGCAGGCTCTAACCTGTAACTTTCCTATTCCAGTACACTCCCATTTTACACATTTGGGTCTGTTCTAATTTGTGACACTGGACATGAATGAAATGGTTCAAAGAGATTTGAAGCCCTGCAGCAAATGGTGTGTTTTTAAATTAGTCAACTCTTGGCAGGCTGCGCTTGGCCCCCGGCTCGGGGTGAACCGTCGTGGCCCTCAGGAGCAAGAAGGCAAGCAGCTGTAACCCAAGACCACCAGTAAGGTGATAAGCGTCCTCCCTTCCCCCCTTTATATCTACGCCCCTGTTCAGCATGAAGAAGCCAGAGAGTCGGCATCCAATTCCCAAATCAATAAGACAGTTGGTTTAATTACTATTGGAAAATGCTTGTCATTCCTCTGTAGCATCTGGTCCCCACTGGACCCTCATCATTTCCTTCACCTGCTCCCCCCACCGACTAAACTGTGCAGCTCTGCAACTGCATCCTGGCCCATCCTCACCCTTCTGCCCCCAACCCTCACCTCCTTGTACCCCCAATATGTTTTTCCCAATAAAAAAAATATTAAAAAAATCAGTCAACTCTTAACTGTTCCTGTCATTAGCAATGTTAACAACACAACTGTTTTCTAGACTTATTAGTGAACTTTCAATCAAAAAGTTTGCTTTTTCTAATTATAAACATTTATGTGCTCATAATAATAGGAGCTTTAGGAAATATGTACTTATATCCCTGTATTCCAACCAGTTTAAACTACATCTCATTATCCTAGTATTGATGTATGCTGTTGCGATGGAGTCGACTCCTTGCTGACCCTCCAGTGGGTTTTCAGAGACACTGGGGGAGACCACCCATACTTTCTCCAAGGATCAGCTGGGATTCAAATCATATTCCTTTGAGACTGCAGTGCAGCTTCTTACCATTAGGTCACCAGTACTGCCTAACCTAGTGTATCTGTGTTTAAATATATATAATTATACAAATCTAAAACTGAGGTAATAATAAAAACATTGTTTCTCCAAATTGTCACTGGTTTTTACTTGAAGGCCACCTGTATCCTCCACGCTCAACATAAATTCTCAGAGCAGGTGTTCCTGGTGCCCCTCTGCATAAGCAGCAAGGAGAAGGTGGGCTAGAAACCGGACCAGATGACAGTAACATCGGGGCTCACTAAACAGTCTCCTGGTGTTTTTTTTTTGTTTTTATTTTATTTTACTATTTTTCGTGTGTGTGTGTACCGTCAAATCGGATCTGACTGGTACAAGAGGAGATTGTCCCTCCTTCTCCAGCAACGCATTTGGTGGATTTGAACCGTGCACCTCTGAGATTGCAGTGCAACAGTCTCCTGTTTTACAGAAGCGTCTTTTACTCTGGATCACCCTGCTGCTAAATCCTGTGAGCAAGAGAATCGAAATAGCTCCTCTCTCCTAAAAACAAAAAATATTAGCTCAGAAACTATCTTTCTACTGTCTGAGCCAAACACCTTGGTTTTTTCCCTCAAATGAAAATTTCCCTTGCAAGTTATTCTCACATTCCTCTGAATCAGATCCAACAATTTGCTGCCCTCTCTCAAAAAGAAGAAAGGCTTTACCTTCCTGTATAAATGGCTCCAAACCAACCTGGTGAGACAGCAACTTGGAAATGATCAAGGTAAGCTACTGCCTCTCTGCATGCTGCTCTTCAGCCAGAGAAGTTCTCTTCCCAAAGGCTGAGAACCTGGGTGTTTTCCAGGTTAGAATCCACACTGTCCACTTCACCTTCTGACATGTAGGAATGAATGAAAGCAGCTTTGACCCACTAGGGTGTGAGTCAAACCAAGGAGTCAGGGATGTACCTTCTTCCTTCAAAAGGTACAGGGCTTAAACAAAACCCAAAAGCTGCAGAACCAGTAACTGGTTGGAAAGGTGGAGGACCCCAAGGAAAAGGCCTGCTGACAAAAAACGAGTGAGCACCTCTCAGACATAAACAGAAAAACATGTTTTCTGTTAATTAAGGTGGTGATGATTTGTAAGCTCGTGGAAGGCATGACAATCAGAAGTCACAAGTGGACACACCAGTGTCATACTTGGTCTTTACAGGTTTAAATCAAACGGACTGGCAAGGAAAGAGGGAACATTAATAGGAAGACTTAATTAAAATTATAACTGAAAACATACACATAAACAATCTCTCCTGGTGCAACCAACAAGTTCCTAAATAAAGGCTTCTACATTTCCGCAGAGAATGAAAATCACCATTGGAATGACTGCCTCAAGCTTTCAGGACATATCCCTTTCCCTCTAGTGGCTAGGCCCTACCTAGGGAGGTCTGCAGAGATGACAAGGGAAGGTGGTGTGGTTCAGCAGTGAACCGTGAAGGGATGTGGCCACAGGGCAGCCTCTGCTGCTGGCTGACACCGGCTCCTCTGTAACGATCAGTAAGCCACACATGTATTTGCAACAGAGGCATCTGAATGGGCAGAGATTTAGGCTGTGGGAGGCAAAACCCTCACACAAGGTTCCTCCACCTGCCCCCAATTTATTAAAAATAAGGGTCCTTGGTGAAGTGTCTGTTCATATCCTGTGCCCAGTTTTCAATTGGATTATTCTCCTTTATCTTGTTGTGGTGCT